GGTGTTGACTGCCAGAGCCCGACTGAAATCTGTCTATGAGAGGGAGTTGATGGCAATTGTTTTAGCCATCCAAAAGTGGCGCCCCTACTTACTCGGAAGACATTTCATCATCATGACCGACCAGCAGAGCCTAAAATATTTGCTGGAGCAGCGCATGGTGATAGAGGAGCAGCAGAGATGTCTCTCCAAACTGCTCGGATATGATTTTAAGATTCAGTACAGGTCTGGGGTAGAAAATATGGCAGCAGATGCCCTGTCCAGGTGCATGGGGGAGCTGCAAACATTGGCTATATCGGTCCCAATGATGATAGATTGGGAAGCCATAAAGGAGGAGAGTGCCAAGAACGAGGAACTAAGCAAGATCAGAGCTGACTTACTAAAGGAAAAGGGCGGCCATTCAGGATACTCGTTGGAGGGGAAGAGATTGTTGTACCAGGGTAAGTTTGTGTTACCCAAAACGTCAGTACACATCCCACAATTGCTCCAGGAGTTCCATGGAACTGCTGTGGGAGGTCATTCAGGAGTGCTAAAGACCTACAGGAGACTAGCGGCGGAGCTGTACTGGAAAGGTATGCATAGAATGTGGAAGAGATGGTATCCAGGTGCGAGGTGTGCCAAAGAAATAAGTATCTAGCTATGTCACCAGGGGGTTACTGCAGCCATTGGCGTTACCAGGACGAGTCTGGGAGGAGATATCTATGGACTTTATTGACGGGCTACCCCGCTCTGAGGGATTCACTGTGATTTTGGTGGTAGTGGATAGATTGAGCAAATATGCTCACTTTATTACTCTACGCCATCCATACACTGCGGTAACAGTAGCGTCGGTATTTATCAGAGAGATAGTCAGACTACATAGAGTGCCAGAGGCGATAGTATCAGACAGAGATAAAGTGTTCCTCAGCCATTTCTAGAAAGAATTGTTCAGACTGCAGGGGACGGTGCTAAAAAGGAGTACGGCTTACCACCCACAGACCGATGGCCAAACAGAAGTAGTCAATCGGAGCTTGAAGACTTATCTGAGATGCTTCGCATCAGAAACACCCAAGTTATGGGCTAAATGGCTATCATGGTACAACACCTCGTTTCACTCAGCCTCTCAGATGACCCCATTGTTACCGCAGGTGTTGTACGGAAGGGATCCGCCCCACTTGGTGCATTTTGGGAGTAGCAGTACACCCGTGTCTTCAGTAGAGGAGTATTTGGAGGAGAGGGGTAAGACACTGGAAGAGTTAAAAAGGCATATGTTGAGGGCTCAACAGATTATGAAGAAACAAGCTGATGGGCATCGAAAGGATATTCAGTTTGAGGTGGGCGAGAAGGTATTTTTGAAACTCCACCCATATCGACAGGAAACAATCGCCAACCGGAGGAATGAGAAGCTTGCTCCACGGTACTTCAGTCCTTATGAAGTACTAGAGAAAATTGGAGTCGTGGCATATCGTCTGAAGCTACCACCGACAGCGACGATCCATCCGATTTTCCATATATCCCAGCTAAGGAGAGCCATTGGAGATTATGCTACCAGTTCTGAGTTACCAGGGACATTAACAGATGAAATGGAAATGATATTGGAACCTTTGGAGCTCAAGGAGGTTCATCAGAAAGCAGATGGAGCCACAGAAGTCCTGATCAAATGGAAGAACCTCCTTGACTACGAGGCCACGTGGGAGCCATACGAGCGGATGAAGCGACAGTTTCCTGACTTCCACCTTGAGGACAAGGTGGTTCTTTGGGAGGGCGGTAATGTTAGACCGGTCCTCCATGGACCGGTCCAGCTGGCCAAGCCCCTTGGGCCGGTCCAGCTGTTTTACCGCAGGAGGAGGCCGGCGAGCTCAAAGGAGGGGGAAAGAGTGGGGTCCACTTGAGATTCAAATACTTTCTTGGAGCCAAAAAGAGTGGAAGCAAGGGTTATTTGGTCCTTTTGTGTTATTTTTGAATTGTATGTATTAAGTAGGGAGAAAAGAATAGATTAGGGTTATGTGAAATTTGCTTGGGAGTTTTCTTGTTCTTCTTTGGTGGCTAGGGCTCTAGATCGAATTCTAGAGAATTGGGAGAGTGCGATCCTCCTCTCGAATAGAGGAACCTTGTATCTTTGCTATTTTCCTTGCATCTATAAGTAAAATACAAGTCTTTTCTCCAAATTTCTCGTCGTTTTTCTCTATTTTCCACTGTTTTGGGTTGTTTTCCTGCTGTGGACAGCAGTTTGTATTGCGCTTTGTTGTGAAAGTGAGTAGGAAATACTTCAAAATCAAGTATTTCCTATCAGAATCCCACTACAGAGTTCAGAGAGACTTCTGCCACATCCAGGCACAGCTTCTCCTCCTCTTCTTCAGATCTGCTCCCACCTCCCTCCTCGTCTTCCTCATCTTCACAGACAAGGAGAACCTGAAGAGTTCAGTCCTTACACCTGTGCCCCGGCATGTACTTCTCATCACATCTGAACCACAACCTCTTTGCCCTCTTATCCTGCATCTCCTTCTCTGTCAATTTTTTGAATTGTCCCCCATTTCCCCCTCACATTTTCTCCTTTGGTGCTTCCTTCAGGCCCCCTGGCGCCGACCCTTTTGATGGTAAGAATGTGGTAGTCATCTTGTATGATCCCCCTAAGTAGTTCCCTCGAGCTCCTCTTTCTGATTTCTTCTGATCTTCCATCAACTGCGCCAGCTGAGCTCTATAGCCTTGCCTAGGTTCCTCGGCTCCAGCACCCCGACTGCGATTCGTATCTCCGTTTTTAGCCCCTTCATGAAGTTCCCTTCCAGGGCTAACTCCGAAATGTGATCCAATATGCTAGTCAAGTACTCGAACTTGTCCCGGTAGTCTGCCACAATCCCCTCCTGAGTCAAAGCAAAGAATTATTCATAGAAGTCTCCTCCCCCATCGGCTCGAAAAAGCTCCAATAAGCAATCTTTGAACTCTCTCCCGCTCCGTATGGGCTCCTTCCTGTTACGCCACTGATACCAGGCCAAGGCTTTTCCTTCCAAATACAATCTCGTCGCCGTCAGCTTCTCTTCCTCTTTCAACCCATTGACAGTGAAGTAACGCTCCACCTTGTAGATCCAGCCATGGCAGTCTTCACCCTCAAAGAAGGGCATCTTCAGCTTCCTCACATGTGGGTCTCCCCCGTGTCCCCTGAATCCTCCATAACCTCCCATTCCTCGAAGAGGAGGTGCTCCCCAACTGTCACGATCTTCCCTCAGACGATTATACCCGAATCCTTAATCATATTCCCCTCTTCTCCCTTCAAAATCAGAACCCCGGCGATGGAATTCTTCCCTTCTCCCGATGAAATCAGCACCCAGCCGGTCATTTCCCAAACTCATCTCCTCTCTAGAAAATGGCTCTAGAGGTGGCATGTCGTCCTCCCCCTCAATGACCTCCACTTCCGGATTTCTGCTCCCCCTAAACGGGTTTGGATTTCCTCTTACACCATAGCCTCCGGTGGTCTCTCTTGCTTCCGATGTCATAGGATTTGTCTACAACTCCAACCGTTTCTTCAACATCTCTTCCATCACCGCGAATTTCCCCTCTATCCTTTCATTGTTGGAGGTGATTGGAGTTTGAAAGTCAAAGAACTTTCCCTCCAAATCTAATTTTTGTTGACCGATCTCGCCTTCCAAGACCTCTACCTTCTTCCAAGCCATCTCTCTTCCCAAGAATCACGAATATCTTCTTTCGGTAAAAAAAAAAAATCCCGCTGAAATTTCAGTATTTAAGCCGCCGACGGTCCCAAATCGATGCTCTGATACCAATTTGATAGGAAATACTTGAGTTCACAAGTAACCCTAAGGTAATACTTGAGTTCGCAAGCAAACCTAGTCGAAATTAGTACAAAACTGAGAGAAACCTGCTGTTACAATAGGAAAATCAGCACCTTCGCAGCAGGTTTTGCAATAAAACAGTGGAAAATTTGGAGGAAAAGAAAAGCGTTCACTAGTAGATGCAAGAAAATGATAGAAGATATAATATTCTTCGATTCGAGAGGAAGAACAACTCTCCACAAGTCTCCAGCAAACCCTAGATCCCAAGCACACAATGAGATCTCAAACTTTTATTCAAAATTCCAGATGAGATCCCAATTACCTCCTAAGCTCCTAATTAACATCAAAGGACAATTACAAACTTCCTAAAACAGCCCCCCTCATTCAAATTTTTCCCTCCTAAGTTGAATTAGACCAAGCATGGCCCACCTAGGCTTCCGGCCCCCCTTCTTTCTCGGTCTTCCGCCGCCCCTGTGGGGCCCGCCGCTTGTAGACATGGACCTGTCCAGGTTGGACCGGTCCAGCTGGCCCCTCCTGGGCTGGCGGCATATCAGAAGCCATCTATTAGCCTTAAGCTTAAATTCTTGGAATCACTCAACAAAATCTGTCGCTTTTCTAGACATTTTGGCCAATGCGGTAGCAACTTTAGAACTCTACTCATTTGAGGAGAATTATTTAGGTTCTATGCTGGGAAACTTTTTGCTAATTTGAAGAAGTTAAGTTCTTTTCCAGATAACGTGTAGCAGTAAGCTGAAAGATCGCCAATTCCAATCAAGAATGAATTCAGCTTACAAACATGCACGAGACTAAGAGCTTCCACGTGTTTCGGAAACAGTCTACAGAAAGTTCTAAGGCCCAGTAATATTATGGCCCACTTTTCTCTAAAATGGTATGTTGATAAAAGCTGCCAGCAATGCCCTTGTATAAAGTTCCCTACTTTTTCCTTGTGTATAGCAAAATTAAAGGCTCTCCTAATGCTGTAAGAGTGATGTTATTTTGATGAAAAATATGAATGGTTTTATTAGAACCATGAAGCCATATTTTCCCAAGGAGAGTTTATAAGAATCGAAGTGTGATGTCAAGGTAACCCCAATTGGTGTCATTTCGTACAATCCTTCTTGCAACATACCCTCCACTACTCTATGATACTATATTAAACTTTCTTAGGTATTAAAGATTAGATAACTTTGCATATATTAAATTTGATGAAGAAAAAGTTAAAAAAAAAAATCCACAAACCTTTAGCTTTGCACCTATCTTTTTGAAATCACTTGGATCTAGTCCTCGGCAGTCAACCTTCGCCAAATGGCTTAATTCAAAGGCATCTCTTACATCCTTGACAAGAGACAAAAAAATCCCATTTTTTGCTGCAAGAGAAATTCATAAGAAAAGAAAGACCTAAAAATCAGAAGTCCATAAATTGAGCAAGGATCCAGGGAAACAATATAATTATCGTTTCTATCAAGATTATACTGAAAATTAATGTAGTTTCAAACAAAGTTTTCCTGATATATATATATATATATATATATATATGACTCATCTATCATTCAAGTCAACAAAGCTAATTATTTTATGACATCATACCTAAAGGCATCACACAAAACAATCGAGAGTAGTTTTATTAACTGTGAATAAAAAGTAAAAATAAAAAAATAAAATAGCAAAGAAGTGCTAACCTAATTTACAAATCGGTAAGAGATTTTGCCCTTTTTGTCTTAATTCTTCTGCTTCCTCTTTGGTTAATCCTTCGGGAGCTTCTTGTATAAGTTTGGGATAGACAGGAGCTGCCGGTTTCCAGAGCATTACAGGGTATCTAGGTCGTGTACGTGGGTTGTAGTTTCTACCACGGAATAGATAAACAATTCCACCAGTCCTGCGTATGATCTTTCCACCAGTTTTTTCCTAACCACAAGAATGATTTATAAGAATCCATCATAACATACATACATACATACAGGAACTTAAATATAATTTCATGTGTTGCAAAGACTGCTTTTGCATGTTACTGTCATTTTTTTAAGGAGTGTGTGCAAAAGGATGCCTGGCTACGATCATATCCTTGAGATCAATTTGAAACTTTCTACATAGAAGAAGAATTACAGCAAAGCTTTTAGATTTTGAAGCATTCCATAATTCAAGAGAAAAAGAAATTTTTAGGTAAAAACTCAAAAACAGGCAAATGCAAATTGAAAAGTTAGAATGTAAACTCAAAGGAAAAAGATTAGAAGCATCTTGTAAGACAAAATACAAGTGCGCAATAGGATTCATACTTTTTTTGAACTTTTATATGCTGGAGGGGGGGGGGGGGTTAAGAGTAACTCTACATTATCTGTAGTGCCATTTCTTGGATCTCCAATTCCAACAAACAAATGAATTTCTTTTACACCCCAAGAAGATGAAATCACCATAACAACAACAACATCAAGCCTTTATCCCACTACGTGGGGTCGGCAACGAAATCACCATAAGCGGTATGAAAATATTTTCCAAGTATACAACAAAAATGAGAATTAGCAATGTAAAATATGAGAGACTCTTCTGACTCGATGTCAATGTAAATGTTGGTGATGACAATGATTTGACATATCGACTAAGTTTCGTAGTCATCGCAGGGACTGCTAAGCTAATCACGAGGATTTTGCCAGCAATCACATGAGAAGTCAAAGTTGTGTTATATGACGGCTGAAGGTTAGATTGTGTTTTTGTATTATTCCACGTTAATAATAATTATTAGAGAGTTCAAACAACTTGACCGATATTTTAAATTATTTCAAACCAAAGGTGCCTCTAGAGTGGCCTTCCTGAAGACCATAAGTAAGCATTATTTGTAAGACAATAGATTCCAAATTCTAAATTTCTAGCCTCTTTTATTATAAGCAAGTGATAAATCGGCGAAAGTACTTTGTCAGACTATCATCTTACGTTAAGAAGAGCTTGAGAATTCATTAGTAATCATTGTGCATTGGCAAACTAGATAATGTATTGTTGCTTAAAGTCCAAGATATAGATAATGGTCACTATAGTAAGTTCCGAGGACCACCACAATAGTGCCTCTTTGAAAATGGTGAAGAGAAATATGCAATTTATATCATCATAAATAGAGAGGATGAACATAATTGATTCAAAGCAAGCAACGTGGTCAATTAAATCTATTTTCCCTCTATAAGAAACTAGCAATAATATTTTGAGCTTTAATAGAGATTGAGCATCCGCAACTTCTATTTAGAAGATTTTAGTAGACGTAATTGTGTGTTTTGTCGATTAAGGATGGAAAGGAGTTTCCATGGTTCTTTTTTATGGGATAGAGAAATCAACTTCAATGATTTGTGGCATAGTATTTTTGGGACAACGTCAGTAGCCAAAAGGGTTAATTGAATCGTGGTCTCGAGGAAAGTGAAAAGGAGTAATAGTTCGTATAAGTGTTATGTAATTTTCTAAATCAACTTCATCAGGCAATCTTCATTAGGCTAAGTTGCATAGGGTGAAGAAGTTGTTGATGATGTGTTTGCTTTGCATGAATCTTTCCCTATCATCGAGATGCTCTATGGTTTAGTTCTTGATCTTAGACATATCCATGCTTATCACACCTTCAAAGATATTTTATTAATTGTTATATATGGAAAGTACCAAACCCTTAGTTAAGGCATAGATCGAGCTTGAAGGGAGAGCTTGAAGGGAAAGAAAGAGAAGACAGAGAGAGCGCAAACACTAAGGAATTAGAAAGAAAAACTTTGTTAAATTTCTATATGTCAAAAATACAATATTATATAATGTGATTTCATATGAATAATTTGTCATGTACTTGCAAGACCCATAACCTCCTATATATAGATGAGGATCAAGACTAGTGTCATAGATTTACTAAATAAATAAAATAAATAAATAAGTAGATGAGCTTGATGTAGTTAGCAATGTAGCAAACGAGTTTGGCCAATGAATATCAATGGAGTGAGAACTTGGGGCGACTTTTAAGTTGAGGGCAAGTATCTTGGATGAGCTCTTCAGGTGATATAACCCCTATAATAGGTGAGTAGTCCCATCACATAGGCACCTTGGTGAGTTCTAAGTTGAATCACCACCATCAACGACTTGGTGAACCAAGTTTAAGTGTGTATGATCTAGACAAACATGATTGTATAACAAATATGTACAAATCGTAACACACAGACCCCGAATTACCCATATGATTTTCCATATTCGTATCAACTAAATCTTCGCCCAAATTGAAGAGACGCACCTCAAGGTGATAGCAGACGTTATTCATGTCCACTGTAGGTACACCACGGCATCGAACCTTACAAACCTCCTGCCGTCTCCAATGTGAATGAATCAACTCCAACATATTGTGCGTTAACCCATCCCTTCCTGTATCCAAAGAACACTTACCATCGTCAGCAAATCATCCCACTATTCTTCCACAACAAGGGAGAAAGACACACAGCTCACCTAGATTAACCTGACGATTATTGGACAGGTAAGGTTTGACGAGCGCCATAGCTTCAGCAAGCGTCAATGGCTCCCCCAATATCTCCTCCCTGCTCCGAACATCAATGTATCTGCCAAGTTCCACCGGGCGCCGCCCAGCCATCTCGAGCACCTTGGCGACTCCAGCAGGGGGGGACGAGTCCTCGCCGAGGGGCTGGAAAAGGCGGATCTTCTTCTTCCTCTCTTTCTCCTTCTTGGAGAGGAGGGGGGCTTTGCCGGTCCAAGGGCGAGGCATCTCCGGGGGAGCGAAAGGGAGGAAGGCGGGCTCGCGGATGGCAATGGGTTTGGCATTGGGGGTTTCGGAGTAGCTGAAATGGAACTCGAAAGGAGCACCGGGGAGGAGGTAGGAAACGCCGGAGTCACCGACGAGGACGGCACGACTACCATCTGAAGAAGAGGAGATGATGCCGGGGGAGACGGGCTTCAAGTATCGGGTACCGTTGTGGACGGAACGTAGGGCGGTATGGGAAGAAGAGGAGGAGGGGGGAGGAGAGGGAGTAGGAGGAGGTGGGGGTTTTCGCTTTTTTATGGGAAGGGGGAGAGGAGGGGGAGGAGGGGAGGGAAGGGGGTCGTTGATGCGTGGATTAAATTATTAGGTACGGAGTGCGGACGGGAGAACCGTCTGCACACTAGTATAAAACAGTGTTCGGTACCGTTCGGTACCACTCGGTACCGCTGGGTACCGCTCGGTACTCTGTGTCTATGCAGACGGTTCTCACCCCGTCTGCACTCCGCACCTAATAATTTTTTGAACCCCGTAGGATACTGCAGGTGGAACGAAATTTAGCCTTATTTTGGCATGGATTTCTCAGTTTTAATAATATATATAATGCATCCAAAATACATTTCTAAATAATATTAATTGATATATCAAATCATTTTATTTTTTAATAATATTAATTGATCTATCAAATCATTCATAACATATGCTTAGCCTTTAACAAATCAAATTTAAGCATTTTATCTTCTAACTGTTTCTCAAATAAAGAACTAAGACACTATTGTGGCTATCTGTATTAAAATCATAATAATTTAATATTGATTTTAAGTAATTATTTTGTCACTCCATAACTACTTAATGCTATTTGTTAATCAAAGGGGTATCAAATAATTTATAAAAATCATTAAATTCATTTATTTAAACCCTCCCAAATTCATTTTGGTTTTGGAGTAGCCTACATTTATTATGGCTTTAGAGGATATTCATTAAGGTTTATTTATACTTGCTTATAATATTATATATTTATCTAACAATTTCAATATAAAAATGCCTTAATTATTTTTATCTAAGCAAAATCAACACAAATATGTTGTTTGAATCAAGAATATTAAGCTCGAGATTTATGAGCTATTTTAAAATTTATGATCCCATAATGAAACATTGGCTAACTCAAAACAATTTTACTTATATCATTTAACGCATAATATAAGAAAAGGTGATTTATTTGCGAGAGCTTTTGATGTTTATAAGATGTTATGAGTCTAAATCAAACCCTAAAAAAAATCATATTAAGATGAGATGGGATGGGAGTTTATGTAGAGTCTTTTTAGTAATATAAATAGATTTATGCCGGAACTCATTAAAATTAAAATATTTAAGGTCATACTCATTCGAGTTAACAAATAAGGGCTTTCAGAGGGATAGTCATATAAATATAATACAATCATAGTTAACCTCGATTATATAATTTATTAATTTGAGACATATTTCTTACTGTATTTCAAAAATAGTTTTTTAGTACAAAAAATTTTAGTTTAATAAATTTTTGAGCTAAAAAATTATTTTAAAAAATAATAAAAAAGTCGTTCCAAAGTAAGCCTGCGATCTTATTTGAGATAATTTTCTTATTATTTTTTTAAAATAATTTCTAGAACAAAATTTTTTAAATTAAAAAAATTATTTTAAAAAATTTACCCAAAAAAAATAAAACCTGAATCAACTATCAATGTTGATCATATACATTTATAAAATTAACAAAAATTATAAGAATAATATTTATGTGCTCTGTATATCTGTAATTAATTTTTAATCATAAAATCATATCCATAGTGAATCTTTTAGTATAAAACTAAGATTATATTTGAGATATCTTTCATACTATTTCTAAAATAACTTTTAAGTAAAAAAATTTCTAAATTGATTTAAATTTTATTTGACATAACTTTCTTATTGATTTCTAAAACACTGAATAAAATATTAAAATTTTATAAGAAAAACATCCGAAATGAGGACTAATAGTTTCGTAGACCATTTTCTATTCTCAATACTATTACGATTTTCATAGATTAATGTTAGATTTTCGAACTATTGTATCAAATTGTCCAATAGCTACTCCCATATACTTCCCTTTGAAACACTTGAAAGATCAACTTTTCCTAGTTTGCTCGTTTAGCCCTGAATAAAAACACTGTTTTTGTGAGGCTTTGTTTGGGATAGTTTTTTTATTGGTCTTAAAATATTTTTTTAATAAAAATTAAAATTTTTATACTAGAGCCATTTAAGAAGCAATAAAAAAACAGTTCCAAACAAAGACTTAAGCTCGATTGTGAGCACAAAATGACTAATTAATATTGCTTAGTCATTTAGGCTTCCTTTGGGGCAGCTTTTGTATTATTTTTTAAAAAGGATTTTTAGTACAATTTTTTAATTCAAAAAACTTTTGCGCTATAAATTTGTTTTAAAAAGCAAGAAGAATGACATCCTAAACAAAGTCTTAATCAATTAAGCAATATCAACTCAAGATGAATCAAAGCATCAGCCAACTAAAAAACGGATGATTTAAAAGAACTTAAGCAAAAAAAAATCAAATTGATCGATTCTGTTTGCTCCAGTTTAATTATATTTCAATTTATATTTGTGCATAAATCAACTAATAGATTTTGCTAAATAGAGGCTCTTGAATTTCAACAATATCAAATAAAAATCAAATCCAATCAGAGTAACCCAGTGTTCCTTTTACCTAACAAATATGAAATGTTTGCCATTCTACAATTTGATTAAAAATCATGCTAGAACATCTAATATAATCATACTTCTATTTGTACTAGCTAATTTTTCTTCCACAGAATATACCAATGCATCTAAAAATAATAGATCGTGCACACAACAACAGTTAAATTGGCGAAAATCACAATAGAAACTGAATGGAAGGGTCGTCGACAGGCAAATGTCAGCAGTTTAAAGGCCAATAACAAGTGAAGAAAAAGGTCTATAGTTTCAATAAACAAAACTTATAAGAACAGTTTGGTAAGAAAGAAGACTGCATGACTCTCAGCTAACCGTGCACTTGTAACATCATATCATTCTGCTTCCATCTGGGGGACTCTGAAGTCCATTCAATCTCAGCGGTACTGAAATATTTTAAAAAATTATTTAGTAAGTATTGTATGTAGGTAGTAATTCTAAGAAAGTAACTGGTTTCAAAGCAGGTTGAGTAACCACATAATTATAAAACAAAGATCTACTCATTGATAAAATGGCATAACATAGTACTGACCTTCTTATTTTCCTCAGCATTTGCTAAAGGCTTCACTTTACTAATTTTCACTAATGAGCTTCATTTATGTTCCACATGGAAATTAACGAATTCTCCTGTAGTTTATTACAAGAAACAACTAAGGCTTCATTTGGATATCTTTCTTCTGCTTCTTAAAATAATTTTTTAATACAAAAATTTTAATTTTTATATTAAGAAGCTTGTTCAGAGTGATGGTAAAATACAAAATTCAAGTTGGATAGTTGAAGTGGAGGAATGCATCAGGCTTGTGGTGAGATAGAAAAGTCCCCCTCAAAATTCTATAAGATGGTGGTGAGACTTGCAATGCTTTATGGTGCCGAATGTTGGCCATTAAAAGAGAAGCATAATACTAAGTTAGGTGTTGCAGAGATGAGGATGCTTAAGTGGATGAGTGGCTTTACCCTTAGAGATAGGATATGAAATGAGCATATACGTGAAAAGGTTGGAGTAGCTCCAGTGAAAGATAAGATTAGAGAGAGTCGCCTTAGATGATTTGGTCACATTAAACGGAGGCCTTCCAATGACCCGATTAGGAAAGTTGAGATATTAGATTTGACTTATGTTAAGAAAGGTAGAGGTAGACCTAAAAAGACTTGGTTAGAAAATATTAAAAATGAACTTTTTTTTATTAGATTTAAATGAGAATTTGACTTTTAACATGACAAAATGGCGAAAAAGGATTCATGTAGCCAACCCCACGTAGTGGGGCAAAGGCTTGATGTTGTTGTTGTTGCTATTGTTGTTGTATATTAAGATACTGCTTTAAGAAGCAATAAGAAAGTCATCTTAAACAAAACATAAATTGACTGCCATGAGATTTATAATTTTCAACTGTTATCAGTAGTAACATAGGGTGCATAGGCAAATGTTTATAGGGATAGAAGAATAGGCAAAGACGGCTTTAGAACGATTCACTACCTATGTATAGAATTATTCCAATATTTGCACACTGACGATTATGATTCTCAGCTTTTCAAATGAATGCATACTCTATAATGTAACGATGCGTTTATACACTTAGCTGAAGTTAGTTTATGTGAATTTTATACAGGCATGCACACACCAGTAGAATTTGCCATTTAAAGATGTTGCGTTGGTTCAACTTTACAATTTAGTTCAGTTTTATCTTGATGAAACTCTTAACTAGAAAGAAGCCGTATTCAAATTGATAGCTCTATCTATGAAATAACATACTCTGTTTGTTTCAATGTGGTCCAGCTCAAACAAACGTAATGTGATTATGAATAATCATGGGTAATAGGGATCTTTTTGACAAATTTTTCGTTTGTGCATAACTTAACAGCTAGATATCACTTGATTTGGGGTGTCAAATTGCCATCAAAATATGGTTGAAATGCCATATAATATTTTTCGATTTCAAGGATGCCAACAAGTATATAATCTCCAAACAAAAGGTCATATCATTGAGGCTTCATTTGGGACGGCTTTTTTATTGCTACTTAAAACAACTTTCTAGTTTAAAAATTAAAATTTTTAAACTAGAAAGCTGTTTTAATAAGCAACAAAAAAGCCATCCCAAACGATGATCAAGCTTCATTAATTTTTAGAATGGTTTAAATATTCATCAAACTTATGAAAAATACAATAGCAATCAAATGGATATAGAAGCCCTTTTTAAATCTATATTTATGCATATATTTCACAGGTGAAAACCATCAAATGGATTCCATTAAGAACCTATATATCCAATTTCAAACCATTTGAAAGTATCTATAGTCTCAAATCTCAATTATTTTATCACGCAACATGTGTCAAACCGTTGTGAAAATGCTGTTGTATCCAATTGATAATCAGTTAAATTTAAAAACTATTGAAATCATGCATCGCACTAGTTTTAATAATGCTAAAGAGAATTAATAATTTTGATCTAGCATTTGAATGTGAAAATGTTAAATTTTAATTGGGATGAAAATGGTAATTCTCTTTCAAGGGAAAAGTTTATTCAACACACTAGGGTGTAACAAAGTTGATTCGATCTTGAACCACCATTAAGCTTGAGCTAGACTAATTAATCAACAACCATTCTTTCATGTAAAAAAAACCACTTTTCACACAACTGGTTTTCTAGGCTGCCACCCTCAAATGAAAGATTAAGATTGTTGATGTTGATTTACAATAAACCCAACATGGTGAATTTGCTTGGTCCCATTTTATGAATATTTCACAACTTAATAAATTAGGCAAACTAGATAGCTTTTAATGCTTCACAATAAAACTAAAACCAATAAACACACGCATATATTGAAATCAAATCCATTAAAATTGTTCTAGATATTTTTCTTACATACGCAAAAAAAAATGTTTTCATTTGATCATTACAGAATGAAACTAATAAATCATTTATCTAACTATCTAGACCAAAAATTAAAAGCATTGCCTTTGTAGCTTGATGCAATATCAAATCATATTTAAACTTCATAATATTTGGCATCATACTATGATGTTGAAGTTGAAAGAGAATGTTTTGATTGGACAATTCCATGTTACATGATTGAAAAAAAAAACACAAAATAAAATTTTGAAGAAAAATGTTTTTTTTCGCATAAAAGGATAGTTGTCTATCCATGTACATACAGATGTCTGTAAATGCAACTGCTCAAACACCAAATAAGCATGCATAACAGGACCACAATGCACACAAACAATTACGCATCTTAGATAATAAATTTGTAACCAATTTTCATGATAATCATTACACCATTACACATCAGACATTTGCATATTATACCATAATAAATGCAAAACATTTGTTTCAGCGACCATTAATTAAAGCATATTGGCCCAACATACCAAAAAAAAGCATATTCTTAAAGGAACCAAGGGAAAAATTGCCCTTCTATGACAGCGTAAAGTTGTGTTTGTAAGCTTTTTCAAATAAACAAAAAGGGGTCAAAATTAACCTTGATGAATCCAATCTCCTTCGCGTTGTTACGGAAGCACTGCCTGCAACACATGAGCCCGTATTTACGGATCAAGCCATGCGAGTTACCGCAGACACGGCTGCAAACCAAAAAAAGTGAAAATGTTATCACAAAGTATTAAAATTAATATATTTCGCTCCAATAACATGAGAACGCGATATACTAATTTTAGATCAAGACGGCGATAGATTGAAAACTAGACAAAGTGACCATTCAAAGAAAATCTGCAACAAATTGATGGAAGCAATATACCAAGTCCGTGATCCCGGGCCATAGTTCTTCGGATGGGAGTTCCAAACGTTGGAGTGGCCCATCTCTCGCCGCTGTATCGAATATCGAAGAAGACCTAGTTAGAGATGTGAAGAAGAGGCGCCGAACACCGACCAAGAAACTGCTCGAGATCTCAAAACCTAGCTTCAGATGGTCGTTATTATATATTTATATAGCGAGGGCAACATTTTAGAAGAAACACCCTGTCAAATATATTATTTATAAATTCGACTTACAAAAAAATCATGTGAATGCACATATAAATTTCTCCACTTTGTTTTTTTAAATGAAAAATCTTGATTTAAATTGGGTAATTTGTTATTTCTATATCTAAAAAATAAATTTTAGTATATATTTAAAAATTTATACTATAATAACTAATTTTCTATTTAGGAAATTCTCAAAATTATAGTATGTATGCTTATATTTTTTGGAGTACTAATAATAATAATTTTATTATAAAAATTAATATTTTTATCATAATAATACAAATACTATGTATGAGATTTGTAAGAAACTAAAAAAAAAAAAGAAAAAAATTTAAAATTAAGTACTCATGATCTTTAAAAAATAAAAAACTAAAAAAATGATAATGCAATAATATTTATGTAAAATATGAAAAATGGTTCATAACACAAAATTAAATAAACAAATTATGGCCAAAAATATAATATGTTTTGTTGAAATAATATAATGATTACTATATACAGAAAATCGAGCCAATGGAATGAGAATGATTTCAATCACCTTAGCTTTTTTTTTGGGAGGGGATCATGCAAACAAATAATCAAAATGGAATATTGCATTATTATAACTTGGTGCAATTTAATTATGTGTTCATGAAAGGTCAAATTAGTGAACTAATACATGTAGTCTTTTGAAATAGAAGACAATGAATTATCTTTTATTAAGCGAAGAAATTATTCTGTGCGGAGTCCGGACGAAAAGAATCGTTCGGATATGTGAGTGTATACACTGTGTACAAAATTGTACACATTGTGTATCAGCTTTTTGTACATAATGTTTGTACATATTGTGTACACTCTCGGTCCGGAGTCCAGACGATTCTTCCCGTCTGGACTCTGCACAAAATAATTTCTCGAGTGAGTAGGCTGTCAAATAATGAAAACATATAGAGCTGCTCTTATAGCATCAGTACCATATCATTAAAAAGAAAAAGTCATCCAATATAAACAAATTTGCGGAGAAAATTATGTTTTTATTAATTTTCAAAGCAGCCTACAATACTAAATAAGTTTGTGGAACAAGAAACATTATAAATTTATGAGCAAGATGTATAAAAATGCTAGAGACAAAGTGAGATAGCTATGACAGTGGCAACAAATATCGTAATAGGTTTAAATGATGACATCATGAACTTTGCAGCAAAATGATGGTGATATTTTAAGACTATTAAGTGCAAATAAGAACCCATTCATACGCCTTACCCTAAAAATTTGCCCAATTGAGGATCCTCTGCATGAAAACAACAAAAATATCATATTCTAATTCTAATTCATATAATTCTCCAACAAAATACTAACTAGGGACATATTTTGATAGTAAATAAGTGTAAAGAAGAGATACAAATGAAGGTAGATATGCATAACTAATATGAATGATTGATAATGAGAACCCATATATAGTTTAGATTTAATGATATGGTACAATAAATAAGAAAAGGAAAGGTAAAGAAAATTGGCAGATAGTTGATAGATTATTACATGCGGATTCCAAATGGGAGACTCATCCGGATTTTGTGAGGGTACGCTAAATACAAAGAAAAGACATGATTTTATTTTATATTTATATATATATATATATATATATATATTTGTTAAGTATTTGTTGTGTACCCTTATAAAATTTGGACGGTTCTTCCTTTCGAACTCCACATATAATAATTTCTTAAGGTAATGACATGTTGAAGAAATAGTGTTTTATATGACTTGTTTTGTTGTGGTGACAGAAAAAGAGGTTAGGCTTGACACAGTGGTGGGAATATCAACCATTTCCATTCAGATTTCTCATTATCTTCAAAGTACAATAGCTATGAGGAGCACCAATCATGCCAGAGATTATAGGGAAAATGTACATTTCTTTTTAAACGGTTTTCTTAGGGCTTCAACACTCTCCATGGTATGTGTTAGACCGGTACAGTCGGACCACATGGGACCGGCCCGTGCGAAATAGGCGGAGAACTCCACCTCTCTTGTACGTGGCGCGCAAGTTAATCCTCTATTGGTTTTTTTTTAACTAATTGTACTGTACGATATCACTTCGTACGGGATGATCTGGTCAATTATTTCTTCTGATAAGCAGTTGAACGAACAGGAATAAAAATATTTTTTCTAAGTATGAATCGTACGGGACGATATTTAATTTTGTACATGGATGAACGCCTCTATTTTGTCCTCGGACGACGATCGTACTGCCTAATTCCAATGAGCTTTTTGAGAAGGTTTTTAAAGGGAGTTTGGAGGGAAATTTCAAAGTAGGGGTTGCTTAGAGAAATCATTTTGAATTGTATGCATTAAATACTTTGCTTTCCTAGGGTTAGGGTATCTGGAATTTGGCTGAAATTTGAGATCTCTTATATTTATGTGGGCTCTAGCGGCGTCTAGAGATTTGGGAGAGGAGAAACTTCTTTCTTTGCACAAGACATTGAAGTTGTCTCAACAGAGGAACGATTAAATTCTCCACATGCATGACCATTCCCATCCTCTAAAATTCTCAATATCTTTCAAAATATATTTTGAATCTTTGAAGATATATGAATATCTACAAAAGATTTAAATTTTTTTTGTTTTTTTTTAAAAGAAAAAAGATATATGAACGATTTAAAATTTTTGAACTTGAAGAGAAGCATCTCTTCAATTCGGCCCCACATTAGAGCATTTGATTACCGAATGAGGTGGAGAACTTCTCCTCTCTGTCTTGATGCTTTCTTAAAACTCCACTTCCATTTATGCCTCCGATAATCAACATTCATTAAGTGAAGGAGACCCTCCTGAATCCCCTTATAACTCCACTTCCACTTAATACTCCCTTAAACCTCCCACACCTACATAAAATAGATGAGGCAAAAGAAAATCTCTCATATGCATCCAAGTTAATTAGATGGGAACAGAACCATAATTAGAAGAATTTATGGTGTACTTTATCAATCTCCCACATCAAAACATCCTACATATAATCATAAATGCATATGCTAAACTTTATACATTTAACATGAATTTGAGATGTTGAACATGATCGTGAATACATGTATATCAAAGTATAAAGAATTATGCACGTGTATCTTATTTATATATTTTAACTTCCATAATTTAGAAAACCATTTATAAATAAATTTTTTTTTTTAAATTATTTTAAGACTTTTAGGGAATTATAATTTAATTGCCTCAGATTTACAAATTTTAATAAATACATGTTCAAAATTTAACCAAGGTAAAATTAACGGACAAAAACTTTATTTCTTACAGTTAATATGTTCAAAATAAAGCATTTTATAACATATTATAAATTAAACTTTGGAATGTTAATTATACTCACTAAAAAGCTTTTTTACTTTTATCTTTTCATGGGGATATTGCAATTGAAATTTGTTTATATAGTTGCTTCTTAGTTTTGCATGTTTGATATTCTTGCAACTTGTATGTTTTTTATGATTCCAAATATTAATATTTTGATTATTTATTTCTCCTAACATATTTAAAAAAAAAAAATTGCTCTTGTGTGTACTAACATTTCAAGGAAATCATACTCCGGATTATTGAAGACTGCAAATCAATATCAGTTTAGAGTTTATTGTGTTTGAAGTTTATATTTTTGCTCTTGTGTGTACTAATATTTCAATGAAATCATACTCCGGATTGTTGAAGACTGCAAATCAAGATCAGTTTAGGATTGTTGAAAACAACTATAAGCAATCAAAAAACAACAAGTATGCGTTTCTGATAGAATAATCCAATGGAGAAAATTATATATATAGCATAAAGACATGAAATTGCTCTTCAAATAAACTACCAAGAAGCACTTAATGAATGTATTTTAGCCAGCTCTTTAAGGGCCTGCAAATTTTTTGTTTTTGTCTTATATTTAAGTTTCTAAGAAATTGGGCAAAGTAGATTTAGCTTAGTGTTTTTATTTTATGATTTTAAAATAAATCAACTTATTTTTCAAGATACCTAAAATTTTAGATATTTTTCAATATTATCAACAACCAGCCCCCAACTTCATGCGCTATGCCGAGCTTCATGCACCTTGCCGACCATCCTTCCACCCTGTCGTCTGCCAATTCCATGACCATCGCAGGCCAACCCTATACATGTTGATGACCAAACTCATGGTCGTCGTTGGCAAAACCAACGCCCGCCACCAGCCAAACCAACATGAAGCTTATGTTCACTGTGTAGTCCACCAACACATTCAGTTGTGGTGTCATCCTTTTCTTTTAAACCACAAATTATATCGACTTAGGGACTATTTGGTTGGATGAGAAAGGAATGCATAATAAAATATAACACAATATAAAAGGAATGCTCTTTATTTGAAATATTTATAATTTTTTGGATGAGTATAACATTAATGATGATGATTATTTTTTGTTTGGTTTGAAGTAAAATAAATACAGGGTAGTCAATGATGACAGTGGCCGGTGGCTAGTGGATAGCACTGACAATGGCGGATAGTGGCGATAATGACATATAATTTATAGTGTATTTAAAAAATAGCTAAATCTAACGATCTCGGATACAACAAAATTAAACTACAATATTGAATTCAAATACTTTAAAATTGTAATCTACATTTTTTTTACTTCAAACTAAACACTAATATTTTCAAAACACTTGCATTTGAAATACATTACACTACTTTCACTTCAAACCAAACAACCCCTTACACTATATTCAATTAAAAAAATCTATTTTTAAGATAAAAAATATATTTTATTTCATATCAAAATATATAAAAAAAATGATAATTTCCAAACTGCCTCGTAGGCTTTGATTGGAACAACTTTCTTACTGCTTTATAAAAATTATTTGTGTTTTGAAAAGCAAAACAGTACGAAAATTGTCCCAGACTAAGGTATTGTTTGGGACAATTTTCTTATTGTTTCTTAAAGCAGCTTTCTTCTAAACCTCACTTAAC